AGGCCGGTTGACTCGACCATGATTACCGGATGACGCAGGGCCGGCTAATGCTCTGTTGTGTTGTAAATAAGGTCACCTGAGTCAGTGTAGCCAAGGGCAAACATCAATCGCTGGTTAGCAGAGGAGGGCCACAAGGGAGAGGCTGCTCACAAAATGCATCTTCCCAAAGAGCAGATGAATAGAACACGGGCAGGGAGGTTACGGCTTCCCCCGCAGCCCTCAACAAACCGTTACAGAAAGGACTCAAACACACTGGCACTGAGGTGGGAGGTTGTGTGTGTGTGTGTGGGGGGGGGATAGGGGCTGGCTGAGGGCCAACCCCACCCAGGGCCTCAGGTGGGGGTTATGTAATCTTACGTCAACTTGAGGCTATTAAGAGTGAAGGGGTGGAATCTAGCCTGTCAATCAGACCACAGCCTGATGAAGACTCCTTGTGGGCGTGACCCTCTCATGAGGATTATCGGAACTTCTCTTTCTCCCTGGAAGCGGACCTAACACACCTCCTGAGAATTAGCCACAGGTCCAGTTCTCAAAGCCTGTCTCACATTGATACCCTCTTGTTGCTGGAGGCTGGAATTCTTCCACGTAGACTGGGGTGAGGGAGGTCCAGCACACAGGCCCGCGAAATCAGCAATACCAGCTCGGGTCACGTGGCTCCCCAAAGAGCAGTTCCAGCCATCACAGTCCAGAAATCTCCCTGCCATCGAGTCAATGCCCACTCAGGGACCCCGGAGGACAGGCTAGAGCTGCCCCGGCGGGTTTCTGAGACCGTGTAACTTTACGGAAGTAGAAAGCCCCCTCTGTCTCCTTCAGAACTGCTGGTGGGTTCGAACTGCGGACCTTTCAGTTAGCCATCACATTAGGGGTGAGTTAATGGCTAATTTGTATGGCCCACAAATGATGCTATAAATATCCAAATGGCCTTTGGTGGAATAAAGGGTTCCTCACCTCAAGGGCAGTTCTAGCCTGTCCTGTTGGGTCACTATGAGTCAGAATCAATTTGATAGTAGTAAGTTTTGGTTTGGGGACCTCAGCCTTAGGCAGATGAGGGAGTCTTAGGTTGAGAGAAGGTGAGTGTAATGGCAAGTGGTGGGACTGGATTCTCGCTCAGGAGGCCCGCCTTCCACCCCCTACCCTGACACCTCCAGCCTCATTTTGTCTCTTAGACTGGCCTCTACATTAGAATCGTCTGGGAAGCTTATAAATCAATCAGCCCTGCCGGGACTCTACCCGGTGCCCTGTGGGCAAACATTGGACTGCTATAAATCAATCAGCTTATAAATCAATCAGCCCTGCCTGGACTCTACCCGGTGCCCTGTGGGCAAGCATTGCCTTTTAAACCTCAGACCAGGATAAGGTTGAAGCTGCCTGCTCCCTCGCAACCTCCAAAACCCTGTATAGAGTCGCTGGGTGGGACTCAACTCGATGGCAGCGGGCTAGGGGTGCAACCTAAGATGTTCGGTGGTGCTGTGGGAAGGACGTGGGCCTGCTGACCATGTGCAGGCAGTCCAAGGGCTCCGCAGGAGAAAGATCAAACTTGGAAATGCTGTAGAAGGTTACTGTGAGCCGGGATAACTAGATGGCAGTGAGCTTCATGGGGGTGGGGGTGGGGAGGAGGGTGTTAGGCCCCTTAGGTAAATTGGGTCAGAATCTCTGAGAGGCGGGGATTGGCATCCCTATTTCTCTATGTGCCCCAAAGAGAAGCCCTGGTAATGCTTACAAGTTGGACCACTAACCGCAAGGTCAGTCATTCGAAACCACCAGCTGCTCGTGTGTGTGTGTGTGTGTGTGTGTGTGTGTGTGTGTGTGTTGATTTTTACTCCAGTAAAGAGTTACAGTCCCGTGCTGTTCGGGAAAGAGTGCTGGCGAGGCCCCACTCAGCACCCCGCAGCAGCCGGGGGCAGTGGGAGGGGAGGAAGTGGTGGCGGACACCTATTGTTGATCATCAGGAAATCAGACTCCACAGAGGGGTCGTTTGTCTCAGGTCCTGGAGCATTCCTGACTCCACCCAAGGGGACAGTATAGCTGGATCAGAGCTCCGGGGACTGGAGCCTGAGCGGAAGGACACATCCCGGGTGGTCATCCCAAGGGACCTCTTGGGCCCTCCCACCTGTAAAGCACGACTGCTAATAGTGCTTCCTTCCTAAAGCCTTGAAAACCAAACACCAACTCACTGCCATTGAGTTTCCGAGACTATAAGTGATCTTCAAGTTCAGCAGTTCGAAACCACCAGCCGCTCCGCAAGAGAAAGACAGGGCGTTCTACTCCGTAACCAGTTACTCAGAAACTCGCAGGGGCAGTTCTACCCCGTCCTATAGCCTGGCTGGGAGTAGAGCTCTTTACAGAGAGAAAACCCCATCTTTCCTCCACACAGCAGCAGCTATGGTTTTGAACTGCTGACCATGTGGTTAGCAGCCCAGCTCGTAACCACTATGCCACGTCTCCTTAAAGGCACAAGGGCGAACTCTATTAATGTAGACGTGCAATAGCCAATCTCCGTGTGGTGTTCGCTTGGAACGACCTAGATTCTAGGCTGTAGAACATACCCAACTGGGATTTGTGGATCCTTGGCTTTCATCCACCCACAGGGGGCAAAGTCTCACCTCCAACCCCCAGGGCTACCCTCTGCTGCGGATTTTCTAGTTGAGATGATAGATTGAAGTGCATGGATTGGGCGAGCCCTTTCTCTGTGGCCTAGGGACAGGCTCGAGGGACAGGAGGGGAGGGAAAGCTCAGCCCACACGGGAGGCTGGGAGGGAGGGGAGTCCGAGATAGGACAGACAGGGTGGATTACAGCGAACTCCTAGGCTTGCAGAGACAAGAACTCTATGCTTTACAATGGGAGCACTTCCCCCATGTGGAACCTAGATAGAAACTCCGCCTCCATCCCATCGCGTCCAGTCTGATCTTGAGCCAGCAGCGGGAAAGTCTGTGTGTTGGATGTAGGTTTGAAAGTGGATTATTACCACACCTGTAGCCAGCCCAGGGCAGAGCAGCCTTGCTGGGGGGTGGGAGGTGGACATGTCTGGGCACGCCCTTAATGGAAATTGGGGTCCCAGGGCTGCCGTGGTCTTGAATCATAACCTCATCAGCTTGACTCAGATCCTCTGACCAATCTGTAAACTTTTCTGAACAGCGGTAATGTACCTTTTCCCACTAACGTGTAGTCCCGCCTACCACAGGTAGGACTTGACCTGCACCAATCCCACCTTTGTGCCGATATTCCCATATTTTCCTTATATGAACTAGCAATGTGACACCTTTAGACACCCTAACAGCCTCATTCTGATAGTCTTCTTCATCCGATGCTGTCTGGTCTATGTCCTACTTAAAACCTCATTTTAAACACATCCATAGGCCACAAGTCCATTCTGACTCAGCGGCCTTGTGGGCTTCTGAGACTAACTCTAAATAGAGTGGAAAGTCTCAGCTTTCTCCCGCTGAGCGGCTGGTTTAGAACTGCTGACCTTGTGATTAGCGGCCCAGTGTGTAACCACTATGAACCAGGGCTCCTAGAACTTAATAACGGGTCCCTATTAAACTCACTTGAATCGGGGATCATTTTTCCCTTAGAACAATGGGTGCTGAGCAGGTCTTCACGCCCTCCCCATTGCAAAGTTGAAGGGCCAAGAGAGCCAAGTGGGGGGAACTAGGGGCCTCACTGCCAGGCTGAAAAGATCCACTAGTGGGACCGCTTTGATTTTTAAAAATGTTCACCAAGAAATCAAGTACTAATTTCAAAATTCCTGACCCAAAATCACCCTTGCCAGTGGCATTTTTCACCCACAATCGCTCATCTTTTCTTTCTTGTTCAAAGCCAGGCTTAAACTTAAAAAAAATAGGCTGGCTGCAGTTGGGTGGCAGGCCAGAGGCCACCTTGAGACCAGGTGTCATTTAATCTCAGTAAAAGGGGGGAGAGCAGGACCCAGGCAATCCTGTCAGGATGACTTCTGCACCAGCCTCTTCAGAAACTTTGTGAGCAGCCGGCTTGCGCCATTGACTTTGGGGCAGAATCAGAAGGTGCCCCTGTGCAGAGTAATGGCTCAAAGGACACCTCACACCAGCTAAGACCTGCCACTGAATTCTCCAACACCTCGGTGAACAGCCATGGCTCCAATGCCCTGTCCCTGGTTGTCAGTCAGCCCCGACCCGTCAGTGACCTTACAAGAAGAGACGGAAGCACCCCCACCCCATGTCTGCCTCACAGTTGTGGCCAGCACTGTTCATCCATCTTGTAGGAAGGCCCGTTTTTATTCGCTGCCCCTCCACTTCACCAAAGGCAATGGCTTTTCAGAAGCCCTGGCAACATAGTAGTTATGTCTTGGACTGTTCCATCGCAAGACCCACCGTTGGATACCACCAGCAGCTCCCTGGGAGAAGGGTGAGGCTTTCGATTCCTGGGAAGAGTTAGTTTTGGAAACTCACAGGGGCAGTTCTACCCTGTCCTTAGACATCGCTACGAGTCAGAACTGACTGGATGGATGGCAATGAGTTTGTTTGTTTGAATTGTTTTGCTCTCTCCTGATACCGCGTCCAGTCCGTGAGGTGAGTCTCAGCACCCTCAATCCCCAGGAGCACTCTGGCTGTCCTTCCAGACAGGTTTGTCTGTTCACACCGGGAAGAGAGTTCTTTATTTTCAGGGGGCAGAGGACTGTAGTTGCCATCTTTTCCCTTTCCCCTTCTCCCCTCGCTGTGGGCGAGAACAGTAATCATGTTATCTGTCCCTGGGTGCCTCCCATGGCCCATGCTGCTCTACCCACCCCCACCCCCACCCTTGCCCCTGCCCCCACCCTCTGAGGTCCAATCTCGATTCAGAACTTGCCTTCCTCCTGCACCAACCTTTGGTCTCTGGGTTCCCATATTACAAACTGGTACCCAAGAGCAGAGATGGCCGTGCGTGCGTGCCTTGTCGACTTCTCTAGGAGTCAGGGCAAAGTTATGTGATGGTGGCCAGAGGGTGGGCAGGGAGGCCTCAAAGACTCAGGCAACACACACACACATACACTTTATTTTTCCTTCCTTTAATCTTAAGCAAAAGAGAGGGGTTCAAAAATAAAAAAACGTCTTTATCCCCCCTCCCAAACCTTTACCCCAGCTCCCCCATAACCTTCCTCAAGTGGGGAGTGGAGAAGGAAGGGGGTGGGCATCTCCAGCTGGGGAGGTGGAGGCGGGTGTATGTCTAGCTCGGTGCTGGTCTCTTTCCAAATATAAATACATGTGTCAAAACTCCTGGAATCTCCTCCCCACCCACCAGCAGGCACTCTCCTTTCCCACTGGTGTTTGGAGGGTGGGGGGTGCCAGGCACCGGCTGGCTGGGGGGGTTACTGCATCTGCTGGGCATCGGCCTCTCGGGCCTCCTGCTGCTCATTGTAGAAGAGATGGCACTCGGGGTCCCCCCGGATGGTGGGGGCCCCTTGGATCAATTTCCCGGTGTTGGGGTTCACACACCAGCACTCTCCACGTTGCCCGTTCACAGACATCTTGCACTAAGAAGAGAAAAGAAGAGCAGCTGGCGGAAGTGGGCCCCCAGCTTCCCTCCCCTCGCCTGGAGGTAGGGTGGAGCTTCGGGCTCAAAAGCCTCAAGGTGCTGGGCATCCTTTTGGCTCAGGGCCCACAGCAGCAAGATGATTTGGGGATGCTAGGAGAGTAAAAGGGGGTCCCAAGCTAATGGGGCTTGGTACTCATCTTACCAGATTTCATCAGAATGGATGGTGGAAGTGCAGAAAATTCCGGGCAGTGCTGGCACGAGCCTTACGGCACGATTTGCCGGGCAGAGACGCACTGCTAGCGGCCCTGGTGACGTAGTGGTTGTGCGTCTGGCTGACCATAAAGTCAGCGGTCTGAAACCACCAGCCTCTCAGGGGGAGAAAGACGAGCTTTCTACTCCCGCAGTCAGTCTCGGAAACGCACAGGAACAGCCCGGCCTGTGCTATGGGTTGCTGGCATGGGGATCACTCAATGGCAGGGCGTGTGGTTTGAGTTTGGGGATGCGCTGCTGGTGTATCTTTCCACCTAATGTGCGCATGTGCGTAAAGCCTATGAAAGGCGGAAATGTCTAGAAAACCAGACCAGTCACTGCCATCAGGCAATGCTGACTCAGAGGCCCCTGTGGGTTTCCAACACCGTTGATGGGAGTAGAAAGCCCAGCCTTTCTCCCCAGTAGCTGCTGCTAGTTTCAAACTATGGACGACTATGCGGATCGCAGCCCAATGCGTAACCAGGGCGCCAGCGGGGCTCGCTGTTCATATAGAAGGAAGATGGTATTTCCCTCTGAGTGCACCACAAAAGTGATAACACGGCACCCTTTCAAGGACAGAAAACGTGTGACTCTCCCAACCCCACCCACTGGAAAATCAAAACAAAACAAGCCCTGCCCTCACTGGTGCCCCACACAGGTTTCACTGAAGGGCCAACTCATTCTCAAAAGACCCTGATAAACCGGACCAGTTGTCCCCACTTCATAGATAATGACACTGAAGCAGCGGGTGGTCACGCATGCCCAAGGCCAGACTGGAGGCAGAGGCAGGGCGCTGTCTGCCATCCTTGTGTCCAGGGCCAGCGTCCAGGTCCGGACAGATTCAGGCAACCACTCCGTTGTTTCCCGAGGTAGCTGGCCTGCATGTGGAGCTTCTGAAACTCTAGATCAATATCAGTTGTTGCTTCACATGCCGCTGGGATAATTTCAAATCACGGAGACCCCGTGTACCAGGAAGAACGCCCCTGTGGTGTGGTCACGATTGCAAGCTTCATGGGGGCTGATCACCAGGCTCTTTTCCCCTGAAGCTGCTCAGAGATCATTAAAATGTCTTTGGGGGAAGAGGGAGGCTCTTGGGTGGGTGACCTACACCATGTTAATTGTCCTTGAATGTGCTTATTATTCTAGTACCCATCTTTAGGGAGAAAGAGGAGACTTTCTGCTCCTGTAAACCGGTACAGTCTTGGCAACCCCCAGGGGCAGTTCTCAGTCCGTCCTCCAGGGCTGCTGGAAGTTGGATTCAACTCTGAGGCAGTGGGTTGTACTGAATTTTTTATGATCATCTCACAAAGATTCTACACGGTTCTTCTCTCCCCCTGACTCTCCATTCTCTAAGGTACTTGAAAACCAGAGCAGCGACTCGGTCAAGGGTTTCAATCGGCAATTCCGTGGACCGTGGTCCATGGGCCAGCGCCTTCAGGGTTCCGGGTGCTTGTTGGAAAGGGAAGTCCCTAAGAGTGAGACTCAGGAATGGCCTGCAGGTAACTAATGCTCCATCAATTTTGAGAAGCTCTGATTTAAACCCACTGCTCCCAGCAGCCTCCCTCCCCACCCCTGGCCCCCCAACACCCATGATGGCTAGGCTGGCTGGGAGCAGGTAAGTGGATCCAGCCTCTGATCTGCCCAGGTCAGGGCACAAGCCGCAGCCTCCCAGGCCTGGAAGCTGGCACCCGTGCAGCTACAGATGTCTGATCGGGCTGCTCAACTGTCAAACCTTGACAGGTAGTGGGTGAAGCAGGCACCCCCCACCACCCCCATCCCTAGTCCAGGCTGGCCCCCCACTTGCCTGTTTGAGGTTGTACAGGCCATGCTTGTTGCAGTTGGGGATGTGCAAGGAATAGAGGTGCTCCAGGGGCCCCCTCTCATCAGGAAGGCGCAGGGAGGAGATCCGCTCCAGGGCCTGGTCCAGCTGCTGCTGGCAGGGGGTCTGCAGGGAACACAAGGATGGCTGAAGTCAGGATGTGGGAGACGGAATGCCGGCAACAGAATGCCAGCACTGGGGACAACCTCAAGGGCATTCGCAAAATTGGGAAGGGACTGTCCCAGATCCCACATCTAGATGGGGACTCCTGCCACCCTGACCAGAGACGCACTATCAAAGCCCTATGCCCCCAAACATACACACACACAGACACACACACACACACACCCGGAAGTCAGAGGGCGTGGTGTGTTCTTACCCTCCTTGTTCTAGGACAAAGGCTTTGATGGATCAAAATGGGATTGACTTGTAAAACCTGAGTTGAAATGGTTCTTTCTCCAAGTCTCTAGAGCCCAGCCCTCCCTTCCCTTCCCATAAACCCAGCTAGAGCCAAGTCCCGAGACAGCAGAGAAGGGCTGGCAAAAGTAAAGGGAGGTTTGTTCCATCAGGAGAGAGAGAGCTTATCCATCTTCCTCTCTGGGATCCACTGTCTTTGTCTGTGGCCCAGAGCCAAACAGATACATCAAGGATTTTAGGAGGGCAAGTCATGCCTCCAAATGGCTAACCCATTTCATAGCCAGGAAAACGGAGGCCCCCAAAGCTAAGGGATTGACCCAAGGGCTATGGAACACACCTCAGTGGGGGCGCTGGACACCAAAGTGCTTAGACCACCCGTGACCCGGGACGCAGATCTGCCTGGAATGTTCTCTTCTGGCTGGGAACAGCCTTTCTACTCTCTCCCACCCCCTCCACGCCCGCCCTGCCCAACTGACCCTGGCAGGTGGTGGCCGAAGTTTCTTGGAGTCATCCAAGCCGAGGTGATGTTTGCCACCTTTGCCCATTTGCCGGTGCTGCTCGGTCACCTTCTCCCGGAGAACAGCCAGCTCCTTCATGCCGGACTTGAGGGGCTTCCGGGCGGCAGTGCCTCCACCAACCGGTGTGTTCGCGGTCCCGTCCACATGGTTCAGGGCCAGGCCTCGCTCTGGGTCATCGTCGCCGTTGTCTGTGGAGAGGGAGGGAGGAAGAGCTCCAGGGCCAGCCCCCCAAAGGAGTAGTCTGGACCCCGAACAAAGCCTGGGATGAGGATGGGGAATGCTAGTGAGCCGTGAGTTACTCTGCGCCGGCGCCTGATTTCCCAGTAACTCTCGGGTGGGTGCTACCAGTGCCCTCCGCCTCAATGTCTCCAAGAGGCCCTGGTGCTCGCATCAGTTACTTGACCAAGATCACAAATCTGCCAAGTGAGGAAGGGTCCAGGATTTGAACCCAGGCTGTGGACCCTCAACCAAGGGTTAGAATGCCTGCTCTCTCCTGCCCCACTGCAGACGGCCACGCTGAGCAGAGGTGCATGGAAGGATGGGGCCTCTGCTGGGTCCTTAAGCAGCACTGGGAGGGGAGCCAGCCCACTCATTCCTGGTGTCTCCTGTGCTTCTCTAGAAGAGCATCCGGTCTCCCATTACTATCCCCCGTTTATGTTCTTCATCATTTGATTTGTGGTCTGACAAGGTGCGGAGAAGACACATGCTTGGCAGGAAAGGGAGGGGGTGGGGATTGTGGAGTCACAGGACCACCCAGATCCACCAACTCCCAGCATGCCCTGCCCCATCACCCCTGAACACTCTTCATTTGTCAGCCCACTCGGCCTGGCAGTTCCCACAGTGCTTTGCTCTGCGAGCTGCCACAGCACATTTCCATTGGCTTCCACTTGTTTCCATGTCTCTTGACATGCCCCACCCATGACTCAGAGCAGAACAGGAACTGTGATTTGCTCGGCCTCCGAGTTTCAGAGACCCTCACAGGGCCAAGGACCAGCCTTTCAACCAGACCGTCAGACTGACCCGGACTTGTGGGTATCAGAGTTGAACTGGGCTTCGTGGGGTTTTTGTGGCTGGATTTTTCTAGCTCGCTCACCCATGCTTCCCCAGAGCAAATTGGGTGGACCTGAACTCCCACCCCTCGGATGAACAGCTGAGCATGCTCCCTTGTTGGTGCCACCCAGAGACTCCTAAGACACCCAAAGACATCTCTTCAGTCTTTGTTACACCACAATTCAGTGGAAACACAAGGAACACATCCCTATGATGTACACAGCCTGGGTGGAGACCCTGAAGCAGCCCCCACCCAGCTAAACCCAGCCTCCCTCAGGCTTAGACATGTCCAGCCAGGGGAAGGTGAGAGTACAGAATCATACAGAGAGGACAAGTCCCAGCGAGTCCTAGAAGGGCCGGGAACCACAGCCCAGAACCCCCACTCTGTAGGCAACGCAAAGCAAAGAGAGTTCCACACCACGGAGCCCAGAGCAGTTCCCGGCAGGTCCCAACAAGATCGGGGTGGCTGCACAGGGGCTGTTTTCAAGCAGATCTTAACACACGTCGCCTTTCCTTTTAAGTCACCTTCAAGAACTTGCAATCCCAATAACACAATGGAATGGCTCTTCAAATATTTCTACACAAGGGCTGGAAGGGGAGGGACCCTGGACTTGGCTGGCCCTCCATGTTTCAGAGGGGGCTCTGAGCAATGTTGTACAGATAGGCACGTCATGCTGGCCAGCTCCAAGTCGGTGTGAGCCGTCGTGTTGGCTCCCTCGCCACCAGAGGAACCTCGTCCATGCCAGGTGCAGAGAGCTGCCGTTCTTGGAGCACTTGGCTCAGAGTGCACAGGCCAGCAGACTGCAGGTGACACACCACTGCCTGATCCATAGCACATGGGTGTGCAAAAAAAGGTCTACTGCCACCCCCCACCCCTTCCTGCTGGCCTCTACTAACACCTGCTTGGTTCTCACGAGCTACAGCGTCATCCTTTAGACACGTCTCCAGGGTAGTAGCGCTGGCTAAGCGCATGTGCTGGTTCATTTCATGTGCCACCTCACCTAGGCTCTGGTTCCCAGCGGTTTGGCCAGGCACTTAGTCTAGTCTCATGACACAATGTAATCCCTTTGTGTAATGTAATCCAGTTGGAATCAGTCCATCAGTTGACGTTTCCCTAGGGTGTTTTCTGCCTCCGGACTATAAACAGATATTTGGGTAGGACTTTCCCTCTCCCTTCTGCATCTTAGGACACAAACCACAGGAGTTTGCAACCTGGCATCGGACTCCCAGATTTGGGACTTGCCATCCCCAACCATTGCATGGGCCACTTCCATGAAGCAAGTCTCTAGATAGATAGATGATAGATGATAGATAGATAGATAGATAGATAGATAGATGATAGATACATAGATAGACGGACAGACAGGCAAGCAGACAAAGATAGGTCATTCTCACTAGCTGTTTTGCTAGAGAGCCATAAGCAATGAGCATACTAAGGTAAAGCGCCAGTTCCTAGTACGGAGAACTACTGAGTGTTTATGAAGAAGTTCAAAAACATAATTCCATTTTTTTTTCATCAAGTTTGAAAAGTTCCCTCGTATAATAGTGAAGCAGTTAAGGTTGGACTTAGAACGCTGACACTCTACAGCCACACTGGCTATTGTTGATACTTTGAAGATGCTGACGAAGATGCTGACGATCTCTCTGATCCATTAGCCCTGCCATATGGAGCCAACCAGGAACGAGGAAGCGGGGGGGGGTTGGGGGGGTGGGTAAGCTTCCTCTGAGCATGCGCAGTGGCTCTCGGGAGGTCCACACAGGTTAAAGCTTGGGTGAAGAACACATGCCAGTTCCAACAGTGACAAGCCCAGTAGCCCCAGCCATCTGGTCTCCGAGCCCACCCACCATGGAAGGGAAAACGCAAAAGGTTAAAAGAAAAAGAACAAATGCATGTGGGCCCTGACGAGGAGGAAACGGGAGAGAAATGGAAAGCGCTTCGGGGGCTTGGAGCGAGCGTGTGACCAACCATCCCGCACACCGTCAGGGCTCGGAGGGCCGTGACGTTCCCCAGCCCGAGGCAGGGTTATGGTCCCAACGATTTGGAGACATCAAAAAGGGGGAAGGGTCAAATCTTGCCAGCACCCACCATTAGCAAGGGAAATCATCTACAGGGTCAAATCTTTAGACAAGACAACATTGAAATAGCTAAGGGAAGTAAGTCCTCAGAAACTGGAAGATTCTTCCTCTTTTCTCGAGAAAGGGAGGACGAGTCGGTCTGACCACACATAACCACCAAAGCCAGTCTGCTGCCCCAGGGGGCAGGCCATGAGCATGTCAGAGTTGAGCCAGGCTCCACAGGGGTCTCCAGGACTGGGATTCCAGGAGTCCACCTCTAGGCCTGCCTTTCCACATGCACAGGGTGGACTTGAACCCCCAGCCTTCCAGTCAGAGGCTGAGCGCATTAACTATATGCACCACTAAATGTAATCAAAACCAGAAACTCACTGCCACTGTGTCTGTCCTGATGCCCGGGGACCCCACATAGGGTTTCGAAGGCTGTAAATCTGTACAGGAGCAGAGAGCCTCATCTTTTTCCCTCAGAGCAACTGGTAGCTTCAAACAGCTGACCTTTCAGCTAGCAGCCCTACATGTCACCTGTGCACTACGCCACCAGAGTGATTCCTGTCCCCAGCACCCCCACCTTCACCTGGGAAAAAAGGCAGCTAGATTTGCCTCCAGGTGGCTGGTTCCTCTGGATCCAACAGACCCCTGTCCCTCTTCCCACCCCTCCCTTCCTGCTCCTGGAGGCAGAGAGTGACAGAAACCCAGGGGTCATGCCCACTGCTCCGAGGCCTGCCCAGTCCCCCTGAAATGTGAATGTGCGTCCCCTGCCCTGCTGCAGACACGTCTTTGCCCCACTGCTCGCCCTGTCTGTACGGAGGTGGGTGGGTGGGTGGGCTCTAGAACTGGGTCAGGCAGCTGGAGCCATCAGCAAAGGAGATCCCCCTTCAGCTAGGCATCAGAGGAGGGGGACAGAAGGGCTTGGGAATGCCTGAGATAACGCCAACACAAACAGGGGTCATCTGCTTCAGGTAACCTCCACCTCCTGACAACCAACGCCTTATGCAGGTGCTGGCCCTGCAGAGGGAGGGGGGCTCATCCCCCTACACAGCATCTCCACCTGCTCCTCCTGCTGTCCCCCACCCGACAGGCCTCTGTGCACCTAGACTGAGTTGGGGCCATTCCAGAGCCCCTCGGCTCGTCCCTGCAGAGAGTGGCCCAGGGAGCCCAGCACCACGAGGAGGCTGGTCGGGCTAGGAAAGCCCGTTGGTGTCCCTGCTGCATCAGGCCATAAAGAAATGCTCTTTGCCTCTTCCCCAGGATCAAACTGGGAACACCAAATGGGGACCCCTCCAGTAGCCTGGTCCTATGCATACTGACCCTTGGGCAGTAGAACCCCTAGTTCTCCACTCCCAGTATGCCCTGCTTCATGCCAAACAAAGCCGGAAGAATTCCTGGAGCCCCCAGGACCCATACTCCTACAGCGCTGGGACCCTGAGCTCCACTCCATGGTAGACAAGATCCAAGGCCCCAGGAGTCCGGGCCCTTCGCTTGGCAGGCAGGAAGTCTGTCAGCCTCCCAACTTCACGTGGATTCGCCCTTTGGAAAGGGTTGTCTGCCTGCCCTGAAGCTTGGGCTAAGTCAAGACTGCAGGCCTTCCGCCGGGTTTCCTATGGTAGTGACCATGTCGGCGTGAGCAGGGTGAGGCTTCCTCCCACATACTTCGGGCACAGTATCAGGAAGGGGCAGTCCTCGGAGAGGACACCAGGCTTGGTAAAGGAGAGGGTCAGCAAACAAGAGAAAGACCCTCCACCATGAGATGGTCCAACATCCTGGCTTTAGCATAGTCATGGGGAGCTGGATCGAGCCAGGCAAAGCTGCCTCCCACTGTACACAGGGCCTCTCTGTGAGTGACCACCGACCGCAGGGTGCCTGACAACACCACGTGGAAACATTCGTTTCGAGACCAATGCAATTGCAAAAGAAAATGTAAAAGACTTATTGGGGCGGGGGAGGGGGGGTGGAGGCCCATAGAAGTCAAAGTGCCTATTGCCCCTCAAAGCCCAAATTGCTATGGCTGGCTCCAGATCGCAGGACAGAGAGTCCACTGGGCAGAAGTGGTTCTGTTTCTGCCATG